CACTGCTTCAAAACCTGGCTGTGACCTCATTTTACTCACTCCTACAATGAGGATGACATGGTGTCCTGGCTGGGATAATTGCAAAGATCCTTATGACAGAGGGCATCAATGCAGTCCTCATCTCCTTCTCACAAAGCACAGCACTGTCAAACTCAAAACATTCAACCCAGGCTCTTAAAGTTTTACCCCAGAAAGGAGATAGGCCAGCCCATGTACCTGTGTGTCTGTTTACACTGGAGCACCTCCTTCCAGCTGTCTAGTGCTGTAAAACAACTGGTGGCCAGTACGTGTCCCCACACATACATGGCTGAGCCCTCTGTACCCCAGGTCAGACACAAGGCCCTGTCCTCCTTCCTACTGGTTGGCGTCACCCCTGATCAAGACCCCCTCTGTTCCTAAGAGGCCATGGGCTTCACACCCAAATGGATCCCATGTACAATAATGTGTTTCTAGAAGCCAAGAAATATTCTCTTCCACTTAAACTCAAATATTTCTGGAGAATGAGCAGGTGCTTCACACCAGGAGTCTACGTTATTGGGTTGATGCCGTTATGCTACTGGGGAGCTAACTCAGCTATTGGGATTCTAGTCCAGTTCTGCCTGTTGTGCTCTTTGAGGGCACCTGGAGCACCCAGCTGGCAGAATTCAAGGGCCATGTGAAGGCACCTTCCAGCTGGCATGATACGCCTGGGCTCACCCAAGAACAAAGGCAGCCAGTAGCACAGCCTAGAAGCTCCATGGGCTGACTCGCAGGGCACCCCACCCATTCGAGGCCAACATGTCAGCCACTGTCCTGCTGCTGCTGGGTAGGAACACGGTGATGACAGGGCAGGCACACAGGTGTCTTTAAACAAACATAACTCCATTCAGAGCATCATAGTTTAGAGCAGGGGCTGGCACACTAAGGCCTGTGAGCCCACTCTCTGCCCCCCTAAAGTTTTCTTGGTGCAGAGCCACATTCATTTGTTTGTCACATATTTGTGACTGCTTCCTTGCTCTGATGGCAAAATTGGGTAGTTGCATAGAGACTACCCGTAACCCACAAAGCCTTTTAAAATATTCATTATCTGCCCTTCACAGATCATGTCAGCTGACCCCAGGCTGAGAGCCCCACCCCTAGAACTGGTTCATCCAGAGAGCCACCAAGCAGCCACAGGCTTCAGAAAATGGCTGGTCCTCTCTGACCCTCAGTCTCCTCCTCTCAGATATGGGGTAGCCCTACAATGTGCATGGTCACTGGGAGGGGCGAACGGCAGAGCACAGAGGCCTTGTGTTTTGGCCAGTGTCTGCCATGCACACATCTGTGCATATGTCAGAGTAAACAGAGGAAAGAGTCCTCATCAGTTCATTTCCCGGTTCTTATGAGGTGACCATGTATTGTTCTCCCAATGAACACCAAGAGAAACGTCCCCAGCCAAAAGCAGTGACCCACAGGGAACACAGACATGTGTACACAGCCATACACATACATGTATAGGTACACACACATACACATTCACACATATACCTACTCCCATGTATCCCACATTCATGCTCACAGACACACTCATACATGTGCATGTTCATGTAAATACATATATATACATATAACACATATGCATTTACAGGCTCACACATGTGCACATGCACACACATACACATACTCATGAGAGTACACACTCACACACGTACAGTTGACCTGCCATGCGTTTCTTCCATGTGCATCACCTACATCTATAGCATGTGTGCTTTTCTTGACAAAAGTGTGTACGCCAGTGTCCTAGACACAAGTCAGTGTCCTGGCAGAAGGACCAGGAAGGTTTTGAGGAGCCACTCAGATACGGAACTGTGAGATGAAAGAGCACGTGATGCCCCTGAAGAGGCCCAGAGATCTTGCCCCACGCATCTTAGGCAATGTCGCAGATATAAAGGAACAACAGATGAGGGGCCTGAGATCTGACCCTAGGGTGACGGCAGTGGACAGCAAGTGGTGGGTGACTCTCGGCAACACCTTTGACCTCTCCTAGACGCCATATCAGTACCTCTTTACCAAAGGAAGAAACTACAAAGCAACAGGTCTAGAATTGTGTTTTAAGCTGACGAAGAAGAAAAAGGAACAGGACACAGATTCTCCCAGCCACACGTGGTCCTAAGAACAAGGACACAGATGGTATTTTCCACAGCAGCAACTGCTTCAGCCACCTGCCCTCCCATTAAGAGGAGGGTCCATCTCTCTAGCCCCTGGAGTCAGGAAGGCCCTGCCCCTGTTTTAACCAACAAAGCACAGCAGAAGGAACTGGGCCAGTGGACTGTCTGGGAGTTTCCACTGTCTGCCCTGGGAACCCAGTGCCATGAGGGACCCCAGAGACTTAGCAAGTCCACAGAAGACACCCCAGAAGGTGAGTGAACTGTCACGGGCATCCAACTGCCTGGGGGCAGGGGGACCCACAAAGACAAGTGCTTCATAAGAGAACTAGCGCCCCCAGGGAGCCCCAGGGAGGACAGCAAAGGGCCTGGGCTGACCGCACATGGCTCCAATTCCCCTCATAGACAATGATGCTGATTTCAGGGCTGCTGTGAAGACATAACAGGATGGTCAGGATAGAGGGCCCAGCCCCATCCTACCACCAGCATGAACTCAGAGCACAATGAAAAAAAAAAAGGCCCAGGAGGTGCCAAGAAGGACCCACCATACAGAAGCGTCCAAGATGACCAAGTTCCTGGTTAAGGGGTGGGAGGCAAGGAGCAGGCCCAGGAAACACCACTGGCTGTGTCTTCCTGAGCCTTGGCCATCACTCCCTCTTGGGAGCATTAGCCACACCCAGAAATCTAGATCAAACATGCTTTCTGACCCAAATTCAGAGGGGCTGGAGCTCTGCCCTCCACGCCAATGAGCTGCACACTGGATACACTGTGCCCAATAGGAAGGAAGACCCTGGTGACCTTGTCCAATAGTGCAAGGGCAGCTTGTGTGAAGACAGTCACAGTCACAGTCCGGGGAGGCAAGCCCAGTGGATGGCCTGGACAAAGCTGCAAGGGTATGTGGACCAGATGCTCCAGTGCCTGACAAAAATGCCATTATGGTTAGAAAGTGTGCCTGTCCCCAGTGCAGAGCCACCATCCTCCTTCCTTTCTCAGGAAAGACGACATAGCCTTTCCCAAATAGGGTCCTGCAGAACACTGGCCAGGGCTCCCAATGGAGTGCCACATGAGAAGCAGCCCCACTGTCCGATCCATTAGAAAAGTAAACAGTGACTTAACAACTGAATCTCAAGACCTTTACTTCCCCATAGGAATCTCCCAAAGGGAGTAGTGTCCAAAATCCCCTATGCCCATCTTCCTTCTCCTTGCCCTTCCTACCTCTTTCCCTAACCCAGGTGTCTGCAACAGGCTCCCAGGTTTTCTCCCACCTGCAGTGGGGCCCCTAAGTTGCTGGCAGGTGCAGCGAATTTGACTGGCCTCGGCCTGTGTGACCACTGCCTGGCTCTGCCCTGCCCAGTGGGCACCCCATACCTGGCCCTGCCCTGCGCTCAGAATGCTCCTCAAGGCTCTTCTATGCATAAGCCAGCCCTGGCCAAAGTGCCCCCCTCCCCTCCTTCACTGAACATCCACTCTTTCCCCCAAGATCCTTCATGGTCACCTCATCTAGGAAAGGCACTGCCTCACTAGACAAAGCTTGCTGCCCCTTTCTCTAACACCTTCCTCAGTGCCCCCTGCCACCTCGAGCAAGGGGGGATGAGAGGTGAACTCGGCTTCATCTCTGTGCTCCTCCCAACCCCACAGGGCAGGGATGCTGGGTGTCTGGGGTCAAAGGAAACCCAGGTGGGTCAGTGGCCCAGAAAATCCTCACATCTTGGGCTCCCCTGGCCTCTGAGTCCTGGTTCCCCTTCTTCCTCCACAAAGAGATACTTCCAGGGGCCATGGTCAGTCGTTATGTGGAAGCCACCTCTTCTTGCACAGGCTGGGCACAAAATCTCCAGGAGGACTTGCCAGATGAATGGGCGAGAGGGAGGTTCATGTGTAACAGGGCACATTCTAGTTTCTGATGTGATTATTATCACTGTTAGCAGTACAATTGATCCCAAGTACAATGAAGAAAAATGAGGGGTGGGATACTGGTGTGACACAGCAAATGTGCTCTCCCTGAGGCTGAGATGTCTGTTGGCTTCTGCAGCCCTGCACACTCTGTCTCCAAACACAAAACATTCAGTGGGGAAAAGAGAGGACACCAGCAGCCCCTCAGGGACTTTGTGGCCAACATGGTTGAGTTTTAGGAGTGCAAAGGGCTCCCAAGACCCCAGACCAGGCTCTCCCACAGCAGAAGACCATGAGAGCTGAGAAACATTTGCTGTGCACAGAGGTTTGGCTGGCTTGCCTGTCTCAGCATCCAAACATATTCCTTACAAGCCAAGGCTGTTAACGTGGCCTTGGCTCAACCTTCAGTAGGACTTAGCTGCCAGAGGCGACCAGTCCCAGGAAGGTCTTTCAAAACCCCTACACGCAACCTGCCAAGGGCAAAGGTGGCCACTGCCCATGCCTGGCATCATGAGGGGTCAGCAGCCAGGCCCACAGAAAGCCAAGTTTCAATCCCAGTAGGGAACCAGAACAGATCAGGGCATGCTCCAGCAAAGCCCGCAGCCGAGGCAGCCTCAGATCAAAAGGCTGCGACCACCAGCCAGCAGCTACAGGGCAGAACAGCAGCCAGGTGACACACAGGGCAGACCCAGACCCATACCTATGTGTAGCCTGGGCAACAAAGTCTTTTACCTGCATGCCTTTATGCAAAGGCATGCTGCCCATGCCTGTGCAACATTGTCTTATCAGGTAAATGCAAAGCCCAGGTCCAAGGAAAGGAAGCAATGAGCAGTGAGGCTAAAAACAATGGATGCTGTATAACCTTGCCAGAAGAACGCTTAGCAATCAGTCTGGTTCGTATTCCAAATACCACCAACCCACCCGGCATATTGTTACTCCAGAAGCAATTCTAGTTTAATTCAAACAAAAAAAAAATGCTGCACTTACCGTGGCTAATTCGTCGAACTTGCCAAAGAGCTCGTTAAGAAGTTTCACCAGCTCCTGGGCCGTGCACTGAGACGCCAAGCCTGTGAAGCCCACGATGTCCGCAAACAAGATGCTGCAAGAGAAAGGGGTGCCAGGCCGCCCTCCTCCCAACCACTAAGGAAACAACCATTGAGCTAAAAGGACATTCACATCTGCAGATCACTTGAGAATAAATCACCCCCTTTATTTCTTCATGCAGGCTGGAGATGATGGCTTCCTTGTTCCCATTTTACAGGTGAGAAAACTGAGGCTCAAAAACACCACAGGATGCCCTTCTGGCCACAGGAGGAAAAAATGTGGGGGTCCCTCAAAGCTTGCCATTCCCCATGCTGACCCCACACACATACCACATAGGGAGATCCCGCCAGTCCCCACTAGACCAGCCTCCCTTTCCCAGGGAGGCCACATGACTGGGATGTAGCCAGTGGCACCAAGCAAAAGTTATGTGTTTTTGAGAGTGTGGCCGTCTCCACACCCTATTTTTCACCTTCTGCCATCTGGGTGCAGGTGACCACAAGGCCCTGGACATGGTGTTAGAGCTTCTCAATAGAAGGACACAAAGTCCCTGAATTATTGGGCAAAGGAATTATCCTGCCCCCAATTTGTAATGAGAGCAGGAAACACAGTCTTTTGTGCCAAAGCCACTGCGTACCGGGTGTCTAGTTCTTACAGAACTGAGGTCAGCCTTAAACAGCACAGTGTCTACCCATAGAGCAGAACTATTTTTTCTGGAGAGAACAAGACTTTAAAAAGATGTTTTCTATGGTTTACTCTTTTCGTCAAATTAAAACATGCTCTTTGCATAACATCAGAGGAATTTTTAAAAACCTATCATTTTTGTCTATAAAAATTTCATAGCTTTAAGATATCTCCTAACACTTTGTCTAAGTGCTCTTGGTTTTTCTCTAACTTTGAGGCTTCCTGAACCCAAACCTGCACTCAGCACGCCTATATGAAAGGCATAAATGTAAAGTAAAGAGAAACAACCATTCTTGTCAATAACACAGGGTGCTGCCAAAGATGGGCCAGCCAGGAGGAGAAGGAGGGGAGCAGGGTTTAGAGCTTGGACTCCAGATGGACTATCCAGCTCTGCCATTGACAGCAACATATCTAACCCCTCCATATGTCCGTCCCTTCACCTGGTAAATGGAAATCAGATGAGAATCCAGGTCATACCTTGCACTTAGTATGAGCTTCATAACCGTGATGATTTCTAATAAAGATAAATGCTTATAATTTATGCATTCATTTATTCACTTTCTCATTCAACAAATACTTATTGAAGGCTATCTGTGCTAGCATTGTTCTAGATGCCTGGGATTTCGCTATAAATAAAAGATTCAAACATCACTGTCCTAAGGAAGACTCCATTCTATTTGGATGGGGCAGGGGAAGACAGTCAAATCATGTCAAGGTGACACATAGTAAAAAATAGGAGCAGGAAAGATGGGTATGGGGTTGTGTGAGTCCCAAAGGAGGAGACAGAGAGGGAGGTATACAGATGTGATTTTTGCTGGATATAGAATTCTTATATTTTTATTTCAGTCTTTGAATATACCATCCTCCTGCCTTCTGGTCTCCCTGATTTCTGATGAAAAATCAGCTGATAACTTTGCTGAAAATCCTTGTAGGTGATGAGTCATTTTTCTCTTTTTGCTTTCAAAATTGTGTCCTTATCTTTAGCTTTTGACAGTTTGATTATGATGGTCTCAATGTGGGTCTCTTTGAGTTTCTCCATCTTGGTGTACATTAAGATTATTGAATGTATAGGTTAACAAGTTCCAAAAAATTTGGACACTTCTGGTCATTTATTACCCTTTCTCTCTTTCCTCTTTTCTGGGACTTCACTATAAGTGTATTGATATGCTAGATGGTATCCCACAGGTCTTTAAGGCTCTCTTCATTTTCTTCTTCCTTTATTCATTCAGGTCTTCAGACTAGATAATCCCAAGTTGAAAGCTTATCTTCAAGCTCATTAATTTTTTTTCTGCCTGTTCAAATCTTAGGTTGAGCCCCTATAATAAAATTTTCATTTATTATATTTTCTATATTTGGAATTTCTATTTGGTTGAGCTTTTAAAAATAATTTCTTTCTCTCTGTTAGTATTCTTTCTTTAGTGAGAAATCATTCTCACAGTTTACTTTAGTTATTTGGAAAGAGTTTATTCTTTAAACATATTTAAAATAGCTGACAAGATCTTTGTCTAAGAAGTCCAATGTCTAGGCTTTTTCAAGAACAGTTGCTATTGACTGCTTTTGTGGGAGGGACATACATACTTGTTTTCTTGCATATCTCACATGTTTTTGTGGAAAACTGAATAAAATAAAGTGCCAGCTCTAGTAATCAGATTCCCCACCATACTTCCCCCATACCATGTGATGGATTGATGTTATAGTTCACAGTGTCGGGCAACTTTTTAAAAAATTAATTCTGCACAACCATGCCCTTCTGAAATTCCAAAAATTGTTCCCAGAGCTTTTCAAAGTACCCTATAGACATCTAATTCTCTAGTTTTTCCTTTAAGGTTTTGGTTGCCTTGTTGTTTGCCTCAACTGTCCTCATTGCCTAATGCAGTTAGATGTTAAACTTGCCACTGATGGTTTTCAACAAATGTGCTGAGAAAAGCTGTTTACACTTGGTTTTGAGTAAGGTCGAAGAAAAAAGACAAGCTGTATGAGGGGAGATTTCCAAGTAAATTCCAGGCAAGTCAAATAATGACAATCCCCTGAGAATGTAGCTTTGAAAGAGCACCAGTCCCATTGTGAACCACTCTGGCAGTTGCTAGGTTGTGACTGTTGGTTTTCAAAACTACCATGGAGGTGAGGAGGCAGAATGATGAAAACAGGGCATGTTAAAATGTCACAAAGCTTGGTTATTCTTCCTGACATGTCATTGTTTTTCTTATATAAACACTCCTGGATTGTTGCAAGTCTTTGTTTAGTTTTAAGAGTTCTGACAACATTGATTCTGACCAATTTTGCCAGGGTTCCTGTTGCTTTCACAGGAGAGAGGATTTTCACATGTACTGACAACATCAGCCTGCCACAAACTATGAATGGTGCACTTCATCCTGGAGTGATTCAGAACTTCTGGTAGATTCTAATGAGAACAGTAAAGAGGTCTACGAGATGTTCATATCTGAGGGATAGAAAGACATCTCTGACTGCTGCTGGAGGGTGGCCAGAGAGGGTAGGGTGAAGCTGGCACCATCAGTGACAGGGAAGCTGGTTACTTGCATACCTCAGGCTATTGCACCTAACCAGCAGCCAACAGCCCAACTACTAGGGGGCCAAGGAGCCCACCAGAGGATGTAGACAGTTTCAGTCAGGGAAGTAAGGCGGTGGCTCTCCACATCTGTATTTTTTGCTCCCAAGCAAGAAGAGAACTAAGAGGAAGGTGCTAAGGTGCCCACACACCAACTCTAGCTGCAGCCACAGGAGACCTCTGACTTTTTTAAATTATTGTAATAAGGACACTTAACATGAGATCTAATCTCTTAAAAAGCTTTAGGCATACATTATTGTTGACTATAAGTAAAATATCATAGAGCAGAAATCCAGAACATAGTCATCTTGCTTGACTAAAACTTTTTTTTTAGTGGATTAAAACAACAATTATTTATTATTTCTCATGATGATTTTGTAGGCTACTTGAGTGAGACTAAACCTTTATAGCCATTAACTAACTCCCTATTTCCTCCTCCCCTAAGCCTCGTTAACTATGATGCCACTCTTTAATTCTATGAAATTGATTATTTAAAATACTTCAGGCTGGCTCCATAGCTTAGGGGTTAGAGCACTGGTCTTGTAAAATACTTCATACAAGTGATATGATACAGTATTTGTCTTTATGTGACTAGCTATTTCACTTAGTTTAATGTCCTCAAGTTTCATCTTATGTTGTCACATATTGCTAAATTTCTTTCTTTTTAAGGCTGAATAGCATTCCATTTTATGTACATATCACATATCATTTTTGTGGTAGGACCTTTTACAGAGACGGGACACCGAGGCTTCTTTGTCAGGAAGCGGCGTTTATTTGTGCCGGCACTGGTTTCACTGGATTTATATCTAAAGGCTGAGTCCCGAATGCAATGGGGCATTGCCTTATATACTTTTTACTAATTTTTTTTTTTACATTTTAGCCCCCTTTGTCTCCCTTATATGGCAACATATATTTTGATTGGGTATTTTATGGCACAGGGTTATGCATGCTCACTTAGACACTGACTATGCCACGTTACTTTTTTTTTTTGTTCTGGGGGACTTTTTTTGTCCCTTACCACATTTTCTTCATATCTTTACTGAGACATCACTAAAATAAAAATTGTGTATAAGCCTGTGTTGGGCATATATAAGATGTACAACTTGATGTTTTGATAAACATACACATGGTGAAATGATGAAAACAATCAAGATAACTAACACATCCATATGTTAGTGTAGATTCCATATATGAAGGGGAACATAACAGTATTTATCTTTCTGTGCCTGGCTTATTTCCCCTAACATAATGTCCCCCAGGCTCTTCCATGGAAACACAAATGAAAGGATTTTATATTTTTATGCCTGAATAGTTGTCCATTCTGTATATATACTACATTCTCTTTATATATTCACCTTATGATGAATGCTTGGATTGATTCCATATCCTGGCTATTGTGTATAGTGCTGCAATAAACAAGGAGTACAGATATCTCTTCAATATGCTGATTTCCTCTCCTCTGCATATCTACACAGTAGAGGGATTACTGTATCATGTGGTAGTTCTAGTTTTAGCTTTTTTAGGAACTTCTATACTGTTTTCCATAATGGCTGGGGTAATTTACACTCCTACCCACAGCATATAAGAGTTCCCTTTTCTCCACATCTCACCATGTCTGATATTAAGGTGTATATGTTCCTTATATATTTTGTATTTTAACACCTTATCAGATATAGAGCTTAAATTTTTTTCTCCCATGGCCTAGGCTGCATTTTCCTTTTATTGATTATTTCCTTTGTGGTACAAGAGCAAATTTTTAGTTTGATAGAATCCCACTTGTTTATTTTTACTTTTGTAGCCTGTTTTTG